CCGCCTTAGCCTCCCACATGCTGGGACGGTAGGCGAGCACTATGAAGCTTGAGCACTACTGCTTTCTGCTATGTGCACTGCAGGGGTTGGAGCTGGCCCTGAAGGCCAACAGTGCAGTAAGTGCCTCCCAGCTCTTTCCCTTCTTAGGGAATGCAGCTCCTTGGAGGATTCTTTGGGGAGCTGTTTCTGGAGGCCAGCCAATGGCACAGCACAAAGCCCTTTCATTAATTTTATAGGCGCTTAATTCCCTCCTTTTGTGCTTATTACAAGACTGACAGACACCCTCGTGAGCACCTGCTTCCAATGCACTGATGAGCAGACAGACATTGGACTAGACGTGTATTTTAAAAGTGACTTTTTACAGGTAAATGCTACTCTATAGGGATATTATATGCAAACTTTAACATATCTTACTTCTAAATGTGAACTTACCTTACGACTAGTGTTCAACATTGTCACAACAGGACCATAATTTGTATGCCTCACCTGCTGGGTGACTTGAAGCACTAGTGGTACATGTACAATTGTCTCACTACACAGTTTTAAAATTAATTTTATCAGCAAAAAGACTGATAGAAGTGATTAGATCTATTCGTAACTCCGGCAGACACAGACTGCCATGGGCAGTCGTGCATGTACAAGCCAGTGGTTCAAGAAGCAGGACTGTGTTAACTGAATCACCCACCAAACCCACCAATAAGACATCTTTAAGTCAGTGGCACATTGTATGGCTTACGGTGTGACATCATGATGAAGGCAGGTTTGGCTTCCTGGCCCATGACTCCCCTAGCCCTTGTTATCTCCTCAGAGTCTAGTGCAGCTTTTTTCAATGTTTGGACTCTGTCCTTGGACCTTAAAGCAGCTTAGAACAGCTTTAGAGGGACAAAGGAAAAAAGACACTATTTTGTTGAAATGCTTGGAGCTATCAGCTTTGAAAAACAACATATCTCTGCCTCTCTGCCCTCCTCTATCTGTTCCTTTACCTCTCTAAGGAAACCATATAAACCAGAATTTTTCTTTCCCAAGGCAGGTCATAGAAACTAAAAAAACAACCTAATCACACATACCTTTCTGCCTAGTTGTCAATCATCAAGGAAACTCTCTCCTCATTTCTGAAAGGGTCCTGCCTGTCCCCAGAGGGAGGAGCTGCACAGAGGGGCTGAGGGCAACCTGCACACATGGCCCCACTGGGTCCCCACCCAGTCTACTTGCGCCCACCACAGCCTCTGTGTCCAATTCTACTTCTCTCGGCCATCCATGTTTGGGTCGTGCCTGTGCAACGGCTCTCCATGAGCCCTGGGACAGGCCTCGGGGGCTTTGGGCCAGCAGGCCAGCAGAGGCTCGCCAGAAGGGAACAAGAATGGAACCAGATCGCGCCCACCTGCTGGAGGTGACTCACAGCAGCCCCATGGGGGTGAGGCCCCTGCGTGAGATCCTCCCAAACCAGCTGGCCCCTGCTTGTCATGGGCTCTGTAACTGTGCCCTCTGAAATACCCTTTGTGATGCACCACTGGCTCGTTTCCTTGGGTTTTCGGAGGCGCTGCAGCAAAATCGAGAACCTAAAGTGGGGCTTAAGTTCCGAAGACCTCGATTTGTGATTGAGTCTGCAGTGGGGCAGGGCTGGGGATAGAGCTTCAGCCCTGGGACCTGACGCTGTCCCAGCACTGTCCCAGACTGGAAGACGCCCAGCTGGTGGTCCTACAGAAGTGCTTGCTCACTGGTGGGAGAAACCCCACACCTTTTGGGGCACACAAGCCATCTGAGCTATGAGTGTGTGGGAGGAGAAACTCAGTTTTTCTACACAGATAATATATTAGAACTTACGAAATACAAGTTCTTGTACGATAAAGCACAGAAACATCTTTCATGTACAGACATTACACAATGACAAAAAGCATTTTAAAAAATCATGAATTAATTTTAGTGATACTCAATGTTTCAGTTTTTAAACATTTTACATTCAAATTTAATACCTACAATTAGTATTTATAATTGAGGTTATATAGAAGTACTATATTCTCATGCTAAAATAAGATTCCAAGGAATATTTTCAGTATAATAATTTCTCCTGCAACTTACATAGCAACAAACATTGTGGCAAGAAGCTGCTGTAGAGCAGTGAGATGGGGGAGACAGCTGAGGGAGACTGGTCCCTGTGCTGTGTTTACCAGCCGTTCTGTTTTTTTCAGCTGCCAGCGTCTGGCTGATCTATCACCATGGCAACATTTGGAGCCTGCTCAAAATGAACACAAACTCATTAGCTACAAACTGTGTCCACTGCTAAAAGAAATGCTGCCTCGAAGTATTTTCTAATGTATGAACAGTCACCTTGGAAAGGTATCACATGCAGCTCTCAATATATCGGACCAAATAACATCAATGTTAAAACAAAGTAAAATTATTTTAATAGCAACTAACAACACATACCACTGTATTAAAAGCTTTGACTTAGCCTTTAGATTCTTATACTTAAAGAAAATTTATACCATGGGCAAGTAATTCTAAATTCTTTTTAAGTAACAGTAGGCTGATTTAGAATATCAAAACAGAAAATGTTGACATCTGTGTATATTAAAGCTAAGTAGCCAATACACCATTAATACAAACTGGCTTCTCCAGAATCCTTTCCATATGTTTTCTCAATGTCAATACAAATACAATACAATACAATACAAATACAATGCAAATGAGTGAGAAGAACACCAAAGGTAAAGAAAGTCCCCTGGGCCATATGCAGCTTGTGGTGCCTTCAACTCCTTGCTGACCTCACCTCTCCCCGCCAATCATCCTGTACTGAACAAGCTCTCAGGCAGACAGCAAATACCAAACCACGGAGAACACAGAAGGATTAAGTGCAACCAGGTCTCAAACGTGTTTTCCCAGGATACAAATGCTACCTTGTGTAAGACTGTGGATTTTTTTAATATAAGTAACCTGGGTAACAATCAACCCTTTGCTAAAAATGTGCTTGTGTAGTAGAAAATATTTCTATCAAAAAGTGCAGAATCCTGCAACCTGTCAGAAGAGGGAGCCTAAGTCAAACCACCGCAACTAAGTGGTGAGTCAAGGCTGGTGAGGGAGGAGGAGAACTGGCCCTGGTTCAAGCTGCCTCTGAAGAGCCTTCTCTATCGCTGTGAAGTGCCTGACAGCAGTTAGGTGCCCCCAAAGCTGGTGAGTCTCGCACACTATCACGGCTCATGCACTCCCTCCTGCGGCTGGCTCCTCTGCTGGCCACTGGTTTCTACAGCTCCTGAAGAGCGCCCACTGGGCCCCCCTCTGAGCTCTGAAAGGCTCTTCTACCTGTGTGCTGGGTCCTTCTTTCAGGGTAAGTTCTGGTGTCACCCTTCAGATCTCAATTCAGCATCACTTACAATGCCTTCTTGCAACTTCCAGCCTATTTCAGGTTCCTTTGCTCTATGTCTCTTCTAACCATGCTTCTTTCCTGTACAGTGGTCACTGCAGTTAGCAATGACACAAGTAGCACTGTGACTGATACTTATTTCTGTCCCCCCAAGATTCTAAGTCCCACAGAGTGGAAAGCCTAATTTTCAATCATTTCCTCTCCGCGGAAATCAGCAAATAGTGTCAATAAATACCTGCTAGATCAAATGACTAGCTCCATTTGTTTCCAGTTTTATCTATACTATTAACCAACACGACCTCTCACCTTCCAGTCTACCACTTAGCTCATTACATGGGGTCTCAATCATGCGCAGGTGCCTGCAGCCCTTTCTCACAACTGTTCAAATCATCCTTAATCCTTGTGTGTTCAGTGATCCTTCCAAAATACACTTTTATTTTATTTTTTGGAGACAGGGTCTCAATATGTAGTTAGGGTTGGCTTCCTACTCTCAGTGATCCTCCTGCCTCAGCCTCCAGAGTACTGGGATTACAGGTTTATGCCACCACATCTGGTTAAAATACATTTCTTATGTCACTTTCTCACTTAAAATTCTCCCAGAGCTCCCTTTGATCTAGACAGTAAAGCCAAAAGTCTTTATGGACTCTGTTTGCCAGCCCCCACCCTCTACTTCTCTACCAGGCAACTGAAAGGGCTCAGGCTGAGTGGCATACTGGCAGGCCTGGGGTGACGGGAAGAAGGTGGACTTCTCTGTCTTTGTTCTCACAGCAAACTCAAAGCACAAGTGGAAAGTAGCCAGCTCGAAGTACGTATTTATCTAATTTTTATCAGTATTTTCCTTTCTCAGTTTTCTCATCTATTTTTAAAAGCAGTTCATCTTTTCTTATAGATATAAATATTCAATGAAAAGATGATCAAACTTAAGTCCTTTGGACTAGAAAACCCAGGATTATAAATCACCAAACCCTATAAACTATGCTGCATTCATTTTCTTATATATCTAGGTCTTCTAATTAAAGTATCTTCTTGTGAACAAGAAACTTATCTCTACTGTCTAGTAGGTATTTAACAAATTAGTTAACTCTAGATGTAAAATGTGGCTGACACAATTCCATCATTTGGTATGCTAAAGTTAGATAAAATATTACCATATTTGAAAGTGCATGTTTTCTGGTATTACTGTATTATAAGTAACTATACACACAGAAAAACAGGATAACTGAAGCACGCAGAAAATTAAACTTTACAGGTCAGCTGTCACAATCTGAAATAAGAAAATAAATTACTCAATAAAGATAAACAAATAATTTAAACAAATACTTCACCAAATAAGATATATACATGGCCAAGATGCACATGAAAAACTTATCAACTAGGGATTTCTTACTATTTATTTTTCTGTAATTCTGTATTATTTCTAACCTTTTTTTCTCTTTTTGTTTCTTTTTAAATAAAAAAAAAGCACATGAAAATAATGTGCAATATCACACATCAATCATTAGAGAAATGCAAATTAAAACCATAGTAAGATACCCTATGTACCTATTAGAATAGTTAAAACTATACCCTGTGTTGGCTCACCCGTAGAACTATTAAAGTGTATAACCACTCTGCAGAGCAGTCTTGATATTTCTCACTTTAATATATGGAAAATTTACAAATTTGCATGTCACCCTTGCGCAGGGGCCATGCTAATTGTCTCTGTGTCATTCCAATTTTAGTGCATGTGCTGCTGAAGTGAGCATAGTCTTGACATGTTTTGAGAAATTAAACATGAACCCATTGTACGGTGCAGCCTATACTAGTATGTGTTAAACCAGGAAAACCACAGCATATGAAAGACTATACCCAAATGCTCACAGAAGCTTTAATAGCCAGAAACTCGAAAAAACTCTGCTGTCTATGAACCAGTGAATGGATAAACAAACTGTCCACATACCCATGCACAGAAATACTGCTCAGCAAGAAAAGGACATGAACGACTGATAAACACATCATGGATGAATCTCAGTGTATGCCGAGTTAAAGAGGCCAAAAGTATATATTGTATTATTCCCTTATAAAATATTCTAGAAAACAGTAACTCTTATTGGGACAAGAAGCAGGACAGTGTTTGCTGAGACACAGATGGAGGCAGAAGGTGAGAAAAAAGACACAAAATTTTCAGGAATGACAGATGTTATCTTTACATTTTTTTTCCCCACGGTACCGAGGATCGAACTCACGACCTCACACTTGCCAGGTAGGCAAAATTGTGCCGCTGAGCTAAATCTCTGGCCCGACAGATGTTATCTTGATTGTGACAGTTCACAGGTAATACACAACAAGATATGTCAAAATGTTTTCTTTAAATATGTGTGGTTGGCCAGGACTTTAGCTCAACGGACAAGTGCCTGCCTGCCAAGTGCAAGGTCATGAGTTTGACCCCTGGTACCAAAAAAAAAAAAAAAAAAAAGTGTGGTTTACATATGCCCAATCCAACTCAAAGTTTTTTTCTTTTTTTAGGCAAAGCTGTATGTGTATCTTTTTTTCAATAAAGCTGTATAAGTATCTTTTGTCTCACTGGTCTGAACTCATAGTGATCCTGCCTCAGCCTCCTAAATATTGGGATTATGGATGTGTGCCACCATGTCTGGTTACAGTAAAAGACGGCAAGTTGGGTTGACAAATTATTTGCAGACTGTCAACTTCCTCTAGAGCTATGAACTGTTATTTTTCTCTAACTTTGGGAACTGCTCTTATGCTTATAAAGGGTTTACAAATATGAAAAGTTATACTAAACAGAGAAGCACATCTTTACTCTGGGGCTCAGCAGAAGCAACCATGGGAAGGTGCTGAGAAAAGCCTGGGACAGAGGCCATCACCAGCTTCACCGTCTTTCATTTAAAATCTGATCAAGAATTTATACGTTACATGTTTGCCTAGAGTTTGCTTATGGCAATATATTTTTATCCTTTTTTATTGCCTGCATATTTTAAAGCATCTCTTTTTTGATCTTATGGGAAAAATTTAGTATGTGTATTATCTCTTCCCCTTAGGATACAACAGTTAAATAATTCCGTTACACATACAACAACATAGCTAAAATAAAACAAATATTTTAAAACCTAACAGATGTCATTCCCTAAAGATTCCTCATATAATAAAGTGCTTAGGGATTTTTTTCAACTTTATTTGAAGAAAATCCCTTGCCTAACTTTCTTCCTAAAATTAACAGTTTGAGATTCCACCTTAGTGGAATTGGTACTACTCAGCCATAAAGAAGGATAAACTTGAGATGAATGGAAAATGGATGCAACTTGAGAACAGACTCATTAGTGAAATAAATACATATGTAAACATACTGTTTCATTAGAGAAGCTGAAAGAAATATATGTACATGTATATATATTAAAAAAGTTAAGATAGTTATACTACCGATTTCCCTGAAGAGAAAGATTTGTGCTGGTGTTGTTTGGACAACTGAATGCAAATGTCTTGTGCTCCGGCTGAATGATTTGGGAGTGACAATGTGCAATGTATGTAGCACTGTTACCTCCTGATTGACATGTTTTAAAATTTTTTTTGTAGTTCTCTTCTTCTCTTTTCTTCTTTCTTTTTCTTCTTGAAATAAAATGGATTTGTAAAAAAAAAAAAAATGAATAGTCCTACTGATAACAGACGTATAATGCTTATGTCTCCAGTTATAGTAGAAAGAACACATAACTGACAATAAGAAGATAAAGGCTCTAATTTTGCCACTAACTAAGCTGTCAAGCCTTGCAAAAATCACTTAACCTTTTTGGATCTCATTCCCTTACCCAACAGAATTAAATAATCTCTAAGGATCCTTCAGGCTCAAAGATTTTATTAACTTTATAGACAAGCAAATAAAATGCTGAGCATGTTGAACAGACTTAGCTACTGCCTTTAGGAAGAACTCATACTCAAAACAGTACTTGCTTTAGTTATAGGGATATGAGTGCAAGGACACAAACATTCAAAGATTCTGGCCAATTTTATTATACTGTGTAACTTGGGAAAACACAGATCTAGTGCTTAATAAGCACTACCTGCAGATCCTTGAAAGACTGTACAAACAGCAACCGACTACCTTAGCTGCACAGAAGAACCACCTAACTAGTGAAGTACAGAGGGTATGTCTCCATTACTGTTTATATAGATCCATTTATGGAACTGGGAACACACTTAATACCGTGATTCTCAGTACTCTTCATTTCGGCTGGTAAAAACTTTATGCATCTAGAATGAGCCTTACCAGGAGAGTAAAGGACACTGCGTATAATTTGTGACTCCAAAATATACTCAGAAGGTTATTGAAAGAATATGACTTCCAATGATTTATACTAACAAAAGTGCATAAAGGTTTCTGAAAGTTAACAGGTACAAACTGAATGCATGCTAAAGTTTAACACCTGATTGCAAAACATGAACTTAAAAAAAAAGACTAAACTACTGAATTTAATTAACAGCACGTTTATGAATTAACTGCATATTTTTAATTCTTAAAAAGATTCTGTCCATAGGGGCTGGGGGTTTAGCTCAGCGGTTTGCCTTGCAAGCAAGCAGTCGTGAGTTCGATCCCTGGGACTGATAAAAACAAAAAAGACCAAAAAAAAAAAAAAAAAAAAAAAAAAAAAAGATTCTGTCCATGAAAAAATTCCAGAAAACAACATGAAAAATTTGAGCTCACAAAGTCCTCACACATCCTTATATGTAGTATTATCTGTGCTCAAATTCAGCACAGTGACCAAAATAAAAGAGGTTACTGGTTAACGAAAGCAAACCCCATGCCAATTTGAGGCATTGTTGGATACTAGTTACTCTACAAGAGAGCTATACCTTACAAATTAATGTGATTTTGCAACAGGATTACATCTGTTGTTACCCCAATAATGAGAGCAATAAGGCCTCAGTAAAGTAAAGTCAGCTGTCTCTCTTTTGGTCACTGACAATGTTCAGTTGAATTTACAAAGGATTGTTTTGTTCATGAACAAGCTTGTAGAAAGGTTTTCCAATGGCTTAGTACAGCCCTTGAGGTATGAAAGTGTGAACTGGGCGAGTCCATATAAATATACACATATTTATTAATTCATAATGAGATGCATTCAAGGATGGCTGACAGACTGTTAGCTGGTAAATACTTCAATATAGAGGGATTTCAAATGAACTTTAATTTCTCTTTAGAAAATGCTCAGATTATTTTCAACAAAAACCCATTATTATGCTCCTCACAGAAGGAAAAATAAAGAAAAGCTGACAACTACAACAACCCAAGACTAGGGGTAGTGAAGGGAAAGGATTCCAGGCAGATGTATGTGGCTAGGTTCTTTAGGAACACAGGGAATCGGTACAATGTGGCTACTGAGAGATGATGAGAAGGAAGCGTCCCCAGGGGGCTGAAAAGTCCAACTGAGTTTCCTGTTTGAATGAACACTCCCAGCGCTGAGGACGCGTATGGCCTGGCTTCAGAGAACATGGTCTGCACCAGCATACAATGCCGGCTACAGGGTTACCAACCTGCCAGCATGGCATTTCACACGACTGACTTAATTGGCTTACACATTAAAAAGAAAAAAAAATTAACTTCACAAAAAAAGTCATAGGTTGCCAGGGATTTAGCTCAGTGACATAAGTGCCTGCCTGGCAAGCGTGAGGTCATGAGTTCAATCCCTGGTACCACAAAAAAAAAAAAGTCATAGGTCAGGGCCTGAACAGACAGAGAAGGACAAAAGTCCTGTTTTAATTGTGACTGTGCAAGTCAGACTGTAGAATCCTCACTTCATATGCCTGGTGGAGTGGAGGAAGCATATTATATATTAGATTGGATTACTCAGAAAAGATAGTTCTATGTCAATCTTTTGTATGAAGATTCCCAGTTCAAGTTCAATGGACAGAAGTAGAAAAAAAAAAGGTTTTTAGGCATGATTAAGGCCTTAAAGAAGACTGACCCATTAAGACTAGTTAACACTCTGCGGGAGAACCCAGAAGGTATGGTGTATGTATATGTGTATGTATATGATTAAATTTTTAGAGTTCTCTGAAAATGTTTAAAATAAATCAAAATTTAAAGAGGTTAAATTTCAGTTATTGAGAAAATTAAGTCAAAAGACTGTTATGCTAACTAATGGAAGTGCCGCTCTTCTAATATTAGTATTTGAATGATTTATAACTGCTGCAGGTCAAGGAAATTACTAATGGATTTGGTATCATTTGAGCTAATCATAAAAACCAAAACAGTTCAAATTTTTAAAAACTGACTCAACATATTAACACATTCTAATTTAAACTGTATCTTCTCTATCAACTCCTGAACTCAGATTGTTCTTATATTCAAGCAACCTGGAGCCCTGGGATACTAGGTCCATGGCTTCTAGTGGCTTGGAGCAGGCCCTGACATCCAGTCATGCAGGCTAACCTGGTCTCAGCTCTGCCCCGCTCTGTGCCCTCAGTAAGCGGGTCCTTTCCATGGGAGTCCTTCTGGCTGTGGATTGGGGTGACAAAGGAGTGCAGGGGAGTGTCTGCTGTGTGCCTTTCCTGTGAGGACACTCTGAGCACATCAGCCCTGCCTTTCACTTCCTTTGCATTCATGGAGACATTCATTCAGCAAATTCTCACAGCTTTGGGTTACTCTCTGTATCCTGCAGACAGTACATCATCAATAAGAAGTAATAAATGTAAGAGTCTAGTACCTGGTTTGTCTAACATGAAAACAGCCCCTGAGTGTGTTGGGGAAAACAGAATG